AGAGGCATGGTACAAAACTATATACAGAGTTCCACCTGTAGCCAAGTAAGGTCCCAAATCCTAAACGGCAAAGCCACCAGGGAACTTGTACCCTATAAACATCATGACGTCCAATGTCACAAGTGTTTAAAAAATAAAATTTGCTGGTTGGTAAACTGGACAAGATGTGCACTATTTGTTTTCTGTTATAGCCTCACATTAGTGTATGTATACACTGTATAAATGCCAGCTGAAATAAAAATAGCCAATTTGAATAAAGTGAGAATAAACTGCACAAACATTCTGATTTTCACTTAAAATGGGAAAGTACAAGCACTATAACCATGCACCTTGATCTGATTATAGTGAAATTAACGGCCCTATTCACAAAAGGGTGTCCTTCAAGCCAATCGCAGAGTTTAGATAAATCAGCACCTGTGGAAAAAAACTAAAAAGATTGAAAGAAAAAAAAAAAAAAATATTTATCAAGAGAAGCCCCTTGGCAGTACTCAGTGTCCCATTTCTCCTCTGTCAGATAGCCCTAGGTGTGAGAGCGCTGCTTCCTCAGAACGGAGAGCTGGACCACATACCGCAGCAGCTCAGTTCGTCGACTAATCTGCACGCTGGGGCCTGGGCCATTGACCCCTTTTATCTTTTAGTAAAGACAGCTTGGAATGTCCTCATTATGGACATAATTATAAATAGCATGGTTTACCCATCTCGTCATTTTATATTTGAGCATTTTAGAACTGCACTTCTATTTAAACACAGAAAAAAAAAAAAAAACATTTTTATTTGTACTTGAAAAATATACCTGGTATATGGAAAGGTAGTTTTAAAATAATGAAGCCTATGAATAAATTAACTTGGTTTGCATAAAATACATACTGATATAAGTTTGTAGAAACTGGATAGAAATTAATATTTTTTTCTAGATATAGTTGATTCAAAGTATTCATCTCAAATCACAATTTAGATGAAATTTGTTATGGTTACTGGATTAGGTGTATAAGATTGATTGTTAGACGAAGTACCCTGCTTTTTGAGGGAATTTCATAAAGTGCCAAGACCCCTTTTTCTACACATCAGCTGGCATATTCCATCTCACGTTGTGGGTCATCAGGTACTGTGCATTTGGAATGTCTTTTTGGGGTGGTGTGGAGAGCCACCTTCACGTGCTGGCCCGAGATACTAAGTAGTACAATAGAAAGAACAATCCAACAAGTCCGACTGAAATATAACATAATATCTTGCGATTATCACGTCCTGAACGAGTCATCCCTGTGAAACGTTTCACAGTGCCACTAAGAAGACCGGTCACACTCATGAAATCAGAATCCTACAGAACAAAGAGAAACATTGTGATTACCACAGGTCATATTAGTTGTAGCCGGTTTGTTATAGAAATACAGCTGGTTTACAAAGAATCATGGGAGTTGTAGTTACAAACAGCTGAAGAACTACCATTTGCCATGCTCTATATCTTGCAGAGGATAAGAGCAGCTAGAGATCAAACACACCTAGAAACCCGGATGTTTTCTAATCTATAGAATTCCATCCCTAGAATAATGCCAAATACATGAGAGAATGGACATGTATTACTCGGCATAGTCTCACCATTCCATCCAGGTACTTGTTGTGGTCGTCAGCCTCTCTGTCAATGTCCAGGGCAAGCTGCAGGTAGACATGCATGTGTTAATTAAATAGAGTTTATTATGTTTAATGCTGATAATTGATAGTGGTGGAGGCTGAAGCTTCTGAATATCTCCCTCACTCTGTATACTTACCGATTTCAGCCTAGTCACCTTCGTGGATAGATTCTCAGTGAGGCGCTTGTTTTCTACATCCAGCATGTCATCCACTGCCCCAGAACTTGGGCCTGTGAAAACATGGGCAGCATTATCATCAGAGAAGAGTTCGGCACAAGAAGAATTTAAAACATCTAGATTGGAGTACCGATATTCTAAGAAAATATTAGTAAAGTTGTGATGGTCCAAGACTGCTTACATAGTGGATTCTCAGGTGTTGATGACATGGCATAAAACCAGGTCCTACAAACAGGCAACACACAACTAACCAGCATCACATCAAATGTAAGGTTTTGTGTGCTAGCATTTATTTACAGTGGAACGCATAACTGCGGCAAGGGGCACTACAATCAAAGCTCTAAGCCGGAGTCTTTCCAGAGTGTGAGGTTTAACCTTATGTAGCCCCTAGCTCCAATTACTGTTAGTCGGTTGAGAAATGTTGGAAGTGAAGATTCAGAGCCCCAAAGGAAACATTTTGAATGGCACTATTGTTGTAATGATGCTGCCCTCTCATGGACAGAGTCACACAAATTATGAAATGCTCTGAATTGGTATCATAGGGCTCTGCCACCTAAAGGAAGCATCCAATGAAAATCACAGCTGATCTTGGAATAATAGTTTTAGACCTCTTTATTAAAAGAAAAACTATAGTGCCAGGAACACAAACTCGTTTTCCTGGCACTCTAGCTTCCCTCTTTTAAGGCCCCCTCCCAGGGAGCGGACTGGGTTTATAACCCTTTTGGTCACTTACCTGGACTATGCTCGCATTAGGATTTCCCCATAGGAAAGTATTATTCAATGCTTTCCTATGGGGAAAAAAATCTGATGCTGAAGTCCCCATGCAGAGCGTGAGGACGTCCAAAATTCCAAAGGTCAGTTTTGATTCCCGGTAGACAGCCACTAGAGGAGGAGTTTATAGAAACTGCAATAATTAAATGCTCAGGGTTAAGGGTGATGGGAGTTTGCAACTGTAACGAGCACTGGTATTGCAGATAACCATTCGTCCGTTAGCCTCCAGCAGTTCGGGAGGAAACAAAGTACAGCAGCCAAGTATATTTCCCAAGTAAATCAGACGAAAACCCAAACATCAGTCTAAACTAGATGAAGGGTATAACAGGAATGGTTTATTCAGGCTAACCGCCTGGTTTATATACAGTTACCAATTTACAGGGTTTCAGTTGACATATTTCAGGAGCATTCCCCACTGGACCAGGACACTCCTACATACAATAATATAATCTTTCCCCTGTACTGGGGAGATAATTGAGTCAAGCACTATACTAAACTCGATTATCTCCCGAAACACACACACACACAAAAAAAAAAAACCCACACCATTTTCACAAAACTCAGAAAGTACCCCAAAGTCCATGGAGACGCCCACAAATGTATCCCCTAATAGCTCTGATCTGGGGGACCAACATCAGTTCAGGGGTTCAGGCGTTCCATGGTAGTCTTAATTTGACCGACCGCACACAAGGCTCCTGCCCAGAAAGAAATCCATGAAATTAGGCTGTACGGTTGGTCTATTTCGACAAGTCTAAAACTGAACAAATCCACGAACCGTTCCCCTGACTCATAGGTAGCGTTTGTTCCCCTAGTTCGTGGGAACAACCCTACCGAATAGCGCTCTCCTGGCTGGTCGGTGAAAGGAAGTAGGTGTTCGTGAAGTTGACCAGTGTTCAGGAAGACGAGTGTCCAATTTCAGATCCAGACACTCGACGACCAAGTCCCGCTGCCTTCTTTCGTACAAACAAGATGGCCGACATTTTCTCCTGCACGGCGGCCACACAGAGAGAGCACTTAACTTGCGGTCTGCTTTGTAGTTAATGAGCTAGGGGGGGTTGTCTGTGTTCGGTAGTTTTTTTCTACCGAACAAAGAAAATTGAAGGTAATGAAACAAAAAGGGGTAGTTTATTCACAGCTCCCCC